TTTTTGGATAGGCTGCAGACTTTCGAGACGAATTTGGTATATATTAAAGTATCAAATGCGCCGGATCTACGTGTTCGCTCGTCCTCCGCTGTGTCCTTCCGGATGTTATAGCTACTGTTGAAACCATCACCGATTCGGTTCCTACAGTTGGTGTTTTCATGGCGAGTTGCGCCTCCACTGAGTTGTCATTAGAAGGTGGTGGTAATCCTGCTGCTTTCAGACGAATTTCTGTTGGCAACCTGCTACCGAATTTAGTCCAATTTTCTAGAGGAGCTTGTGCCGTTAGTTCTGATTGCAACACTAGTTTCAACAGCCTGGGACCGCACCCCTTAGAGTTCGGTGATAAGGACATCCTTGTAAACGAGTTGCCACGACATTTTCGAGAGAAAGAGCTGCACGGATGTAGTGCCATTCCTTCCGGTCGTGTACTTGCACATCGTCGGAAGAGGAATCAGTAAGCTGAGGAACACCGTGAGCAATAACAGCTTTCTCTTTACTTCTTATTTTCTGTTACTCTCTCTGTTAGTTGGATCCGCTGCACGTTCTTTCCACGGGATTTCAGGTAGGCTGCGCACTCCACATGAGGCATTGCGGACTCGATTTGCGGACAGCAGAACGGCCTCTGCCTCATCGCCCGAGTTCAGTGTTACCCGAAGTAACTGGGGGTTCACCGTATTGCAATAAATTTGGGTGACGCGAGATGCGTTTTAATGGCGTAGTATCAGCATGGACACTGATTGCCGTACAGATGGAATTCCATTGATTTCGATCGTCTGTCAACCTACCCTTACTCGTATTGGATTTGGATTCGGGAACATTAGTGCACACAAGGTTTAAAGCGCCATGGTTGCGCCTCGTGGCTACTGGTTTTGGAGCCTTAGTTTCCTTTGCTTTTAGTGCATTTGCGAACGACACTGATGAGGGTCATCCGTGCTGCGACATTCAAGTTTTCTCTAGTCCGGCCACCAAGATTGCCGGTGTTATTTCCGGTGTTTGCTTGGCGGCAACCGATGCGTATGTTATCTGGTTCCTCACTATGGCTGGTTGACTGCAGCTTAGGGTCTCCTGTACAGCGAACAAACTAGTAGGTGTAACGCACTGTACAGAAGTTGAAGCAGGCACGCTGCAGACAACGTTTTTACTTATGGGAGAGAGAGAAGCGAGTAGGTACTGAGTGAGACTGAGTCTTTGGGGTACTGCTGGGATGGCTGGCTCTCTTCTTCGGCCTGAATGGGGAATTCGGGGTATTATTTTCACATACAAGTGCAGGTCCGTTTCTTCCCATAGGTGTAATCCTGGCGCACACCATTTGCTGGCCTGATACTGTGAGTCTTTCACACTTCTTCAGTAACACAGTCAGACAGCCAACAACTGCGATAGCACTGCATACTGGGCGGAACCGAAACGCCTCTGTCGTGTTATTGTACCGTCTCGTTTTAACCGACTCCGTCCCAAGGCATTTTTTGTGATAGGTTTTCAAGCAACTGCTGCCAACTAGACCACTCTTCACCAATTTAACACACAACTCACACTTGCTTTTAACTTGAGACATGTTCGCCGAGGGCGTGAAGTTTTAAGTTCACGAGTTTGTCGGATGATCAGTTAGTGCAGCTTCCCGCCTCAAAGATAAGCTTGAGTCAGCGTGGCGCGCCCGTTGTCAGCGGTGATCCCTTGTAGGCACACGTTGCAGTGTTGGTCGGTTGATCGATTGACCTTAGGCCCGGCTGGTTTGGGACCTAGTAAATGAATCTAAACACAACGCTGAACACAGTTTGAGAGATCACATATTCCTTCACAGATGCGTTGAGAAACACCCGATTGGAATAAGCTTAGACTTTGCGAACCCTAACGTGTCTGCGGCGAACTTGAGATTTTCAAGGCTCGTGTATCATATTCCCAATGGAAGAAGTCCTAACCACTTGTCTGCTTCATATGATTTAACGTAATACATCCCAGATCATAGTCTAGCTTCCATCTTGACCATGGAAGAGGAAGACAGTGTGCGCCACAGCACACGCTGTATGCATTAGTCCACCCATTGAAGGACACATCTGTAGGGGAAATCACATCGCCTGCTCAACTTATATAAAACAGTTTTTAGACCACAAGGCTTCAGCTGTGAACACTTTGCCGATAACAGTCATGACGTTGATGGGTTTCTCAAAGTTCTCCAATACATCATTGTGTTTAGTCTTCAGATGTAGATTTGTCCCAATATTTGACAGTGACTGTCCGGGGATCTCGAATAATGGTTCATAGCGGTGGCGGTTTAAATACGCATGTGGATATTTTCAAGCTTACGAGGTCTGATTTAAGTTACCCTTATCTTAACGCGGTCCTAAGATATTAAACATGCAAGTATATTGAGTCAAAACATGCCTACTACATTCCAATAGTTTTTGAACACCTTGATTAATGACATTCTTCTACAAAACATAGAAGGTTACTTGATGGATTGTAAGTCATTCTCGCTTTGTGTGAAACGGTTCCTTGTTTTTGTCTTTGTTTTACACATTCACCCAACCCACAGACAGAATTAACCAAACGGCTACAGCGTCTTTCCACGCAGGCGAAGAGGGGAGGCGAGCTAGTGCAAGAATTGAAGTCCATTGAGGAACGCATAAAGGTTAGTCCCTGCTAACCCATGTCTGTTTCGCTCTCCCTGAAATCACCTGAATTTAAAAGCCCGATCTACTCCTCCAACTTCACTTTTCTGACAATAAAAATGTTTTCATTTTGCTCATGATCCTACTCAGACTACAGAAAGTAACTCTACTTGCTATTGCGCATAAGTGCACTTGAAGAAACATGTTCGAGAATGCTCACCTGCAACATTACACTATGTCAGGTTTCGTATCTTTCTGACTTTCGGGGTAACTTTGGACTGTTGACCTGGAGACCACCTTACGTATTGGGTTGTGTGACTCCACGGTTGGTTTTGGATCTGCTTATCCACGGTCCGACACGCAGCCACAATGGTAACACACAGTGTGTGCCGTTATCTGAAACTTACCAAGTGTCAAAGGGAAGATACACGTGCGACTTGTGAGTGTGGGGTTAAGCTGGTTGCAATTGGCCTTGTTGTATGCCAAAGGGGAAAGGTGTCAGCTATATCTCCTCACACCGTACTTAAGGCTGGGTTTACCGTTAGGTCACACGCACCTACAGGGATTCGAACCGATGACGTCCGGATCACATGTCAGGCACGCACTCCTTTCGGCCACCGACCGACGCCGCATACCCATACATGCCGTCCGTTGTTCTGTCCTGTTTTTATGGCTACCTCGTTCCACTATGAAACGCTTTAGTCACACAAATTACGCGAGTTCAGTAAAGCGCGTATAGTTGAATATCCCAATCTGTGAGGTTTGTTAACCGATGACAGTGAAGGACTCAATAAGCGTTCAGGTTTGCCGCAGACGGCAAAATATCTGAATACTCGCTTATTGGCAACATTGTTTGACTGACAGAGATCGTCCAATCGATGAAAAGTCGGCACCGAGGCTCTGACGAGTCAGGGTACTTACGCCTTGCCTATTTCAATACGGCAACCTCTGTTAGTCACCACTTATCAGTAGACAGGCGGCGCCTAGTGTCCAAATTGTCGAATAGTTAACAGCCGACAGGATCACAAAGCGTAGCTGTCATCGGAAAGTTGAAAGTAGCATCTCGTGAAACGGCGCCGATATCATTGGGTGCGTAACAATGATCAAACATTGGGGTGGTAACATCGCTTTCCGTCGTACCGATCTGGGTTAATGGAAGTGAGTTTGTTTGATACAAAGCATAAGCAATTGATTCACCACTTTAATAACCGCTTCCCAGAGCTCTACACTAGAAAATTTTGACTAGCTTATGCGAGATTATTTGTATCTCGATTGTTGGAATTGCGATGGCCTTTCCAGTAAATTGCAGTTACCTGATGGCGGGTTCTCCTTACACAATACGGCAGGGATGTTCATACAAATTAACGGTTCCGGCTACTATTAAAAGCCTATCAAATAACTTACATGCAAGAGCACTAGGACGAACCGTTGCGGTCATCTTCTTTACGATTAAGGAAGGAGGAAGACGATTCATCAAACGTACTGCATATTATTTTCATAGGAACACTTAACTCCAATCACTCAAATGCAGACTTGAATGTGCCACCCACCGTAGTCTTGACCTACCATGCGGAGTCAGCGACTGACTGCTCCTTCGAAATATTCTTTCAAAGTTTGAAGGCGCAAACCTAAATCCCTGAGCTTTATATTGAAAAGATTGCAAATCGAATTCTCTTTGGGAAATTCATAAGCTATATTTCCATCTTTTCTTTTGCATCTAAACTTCCACAAATGGCTTCACGCTAGGGATCTGGTTAACCATCGCATGATGTGCTAGCAACCAATGACCGAAACACCGATGACCATGATATAGGAACATGCGTATGGGTGACAGGAAAGCTTTGGAAAACCTGCAAAGATCATTCACTAAGCGCTTGTTCAGTAAATCAGCCACCTTGGGTTATCAAGAGCGCTGCGAGCAGCTTAAGCTCGAGACCCTTTGGTTGCGACGACTGAGACCTAACCTGATGCTGATACACAATCTCATCAACCAATAGAGATACTCCGATCTTTGTGCACTTAAATTGCAACATAACCACTCGGAATATACACAACAAGACCTGCACATTAAGTGTGCCAAGAACCAGGACAGCTATCCTATCCAACCTCTTCCTCGTCAGATACGCTGTCGTATGGAATAGCCTACCAGCCACAATCAGTTCTTGCACAAATGCAAGAGCATTCCACATTCAGCTTTGTAAATTCCTGGACCAGAATTCGATAATGACCATGTTTCCATCAGGTAAATCACCACAGGATCGACCAAGAAATATATAACCAACGATTAAAAGTGGTACACAAACAGCAACAATAAAAGTTATGTGCTTCCAAATTATTTTGATATCATACACCTCAGAATACATATCTCACACATGCATGAGCATGATAATTATTGTACCCATGGTCTGTCCACAATCCAGGGACAGATTCTCATACGATCGGGAACTATCCGCACTATTATTATTATTATTATTATTATTATTATTATTATGTCTCAAATGAATGACCACCAGTCATGTCACGCTGGGAGGTGCAGGGCAAGAGTGAGCGAGCGCAGCGGCTTCATTGCGTTTAGTTGGGAAGCCTAGGATACTCCATAACTGTCATTACCTGTCGGCCGCACACAGAACGACCCGGTGTTAGCCCATTCCCGCCCATTTATGTGACTCTGATTCTATTCCGTAGAAGTTTGTAAAATCGGTTTTCACGGGACAATGGGCCACGCTCATGGATAGTATGCAGCATCATGTATAATGTTCAGACAGACATCCAGGTTATTTACACCACTTAGTCTGTTGGCCAGTCTGACTTAATCTGATCGTCACCTCGTCCCTCATTCCAAATCCATGTTGGATGACAACATACAATCAACTCTTCTGTAAATCGATGAGAATTACGCCTGTTCCTCAACTTGGTGTCACGTGGGGCTTAGTTATTGAGCGGCGCTCCATTTTAACATTAAATTGCGCTATTGCATTGAGTGAGCACCGTTCCGACGGCCATGTTAACCGTGATTCGTACAAGGTTGATCAGGATTCAGTTGAAAATAACTTGAATGGCCATACAGTGCAGTAAGCGGGGACCAAAGGGCCGGCAATTTATCTGCCATACGTTACTTCGAACGCGAAGGTATGACAACATTGCGAGTGGCGTTTAGCTGCCATGGATGAACTTCAGCATTGTATGCGAATAACTCACCGTTTTTCTCATTTTCCGCCATAGAATTCCCTTCCGTCAATGGAATCCAGACTGAACGCGGACATTGATCTTCTCATCAGTCAGCTTGAGAGACAGCGAGCCAAGCTGTTAGAAGAACTACGAGGGAGACTAAAACAACGTGAAAACCAGTTGAAGGAACGAGCCAATAGTATCGGTCAGAAACTGTCCTCTACTACTGCGTTGTTGCAGTTTGGAGTGGAACTGCTAAAAGAACAGGATCCCGCTGCGTTTGTTCAGGTTCGTTTCATCTTGCCACAGTCGCGAATTAAATTCATTCCCCACGATGCGAGACACGTCTGTGTAGGCATGATCGGGTAAATACATACTTCTATGGAAGGTTGATCACAGGTGCAGCAAAATGATTGAATGTCCCATCAGATAGTAACGTTAGGTAGGTAGCAAAGAGAATAAACGGTTAACAATGAGTAGACGGATTTGGGTATGATTTCATTTGGTTCATCGCAACTGGATTACAAGCCGCATAGCTAAGCTACCAATCCGGAAAAACACCGGACGATCGTTTTGTCCTATTGGGACTTTTCATTGATGCGTATTCCTTCGGTCCCCTGCTGGTGATCGAACCCGTAACCGCAAGTGGCTTGCGCCACTAGCTTACAGCTTATGCCCCTGAGCCATGATTGACTGAAACCAAATGACTGTATGATGGTGAAATATGTACTGGGTCAAACGAAAACTGGATCCTGCTCGTACACTTGGCTTGTTGTTAAAGAACAAGCAGATTGATCACGGTCTGTACAGCCAAGAATTTGTTGATGCTTTTGCGAAATTCGTGTCCTAGTGTGCAGACACGCATTCCGGGTTCTTCCGGGTTCTTCTTTCCAACTATGGCGTACTTGTTAAGGGAAATCTTGGTAGACTTGCTTTCCACCACTGAGTTCTGTTTGTTTCGTATGTTCTAGACTGCTGATTGCATTCAAATCACGTTGCGGTTAGAAACGTGTACATTTCTGTGCAGTGTTGAAAAGTACCACTAGGTTGTGCATCATAGGCCGTAGCCAGAGCGGAGCAAGCTTGCTGTTATCACATGGTTCAGAATATTCCATTTCTGAAGAAGCACCTTGAAGGTATTTTGTGAATTCTCTCTACACGTGTTCCCGTGCAATGCGGTCGCGCTTTTTTGTGCCGCTGTACACCACTGAATAATATTCCAGTGTAGGTCGAGCAACTGATATGTAATAATGAAATTTTAATTATTGTAAGGAAAAAGTCCTGAATACCATCCTGTTTTCTGTCTTGCCCCCGCGGTCGCTTAGCCTACTTGTTCACAGAAGTCAAGTGAGCATGATGATCTCAATCTCAGATCTCTGACCATAGGGCATAGTCAAGCCGCTATGATTCAAATCGTACTTGTGATTAGTCAAGAATCAGGAGTATCATGGTTTTCTATAACCTAGTATTTCGAGCAAATATTTTGAAACT